ACATCTATCCACGCATAGTTCAAGTCGCTTACTGACTAACATAGCGTCCCGAAACGTATTCATGGTTTTTATTTTTATCTAAGCAAAGATAAATCGTAATTAAGTTCTTTTATGATATGTGTAAGTGACATTAAAAAGGAAATTAACATTTCATCCACAAAATATTATTTTACAGCGCGAAAACTGACGTTTCCCATGTTGCGCTAACAAAACGTCCCGAAGAATTTAGCGTCCCGAAATGTCATTAAGCGTCCCGAAGCATTATTGTTAATTTAAACAGTCAGAATGGTTATATTTATTGTAAATAATGTATATTATTATGTATTGAGGTATTTGTGGTAGAAAAAAATAATCTTACTTATCATTTTTTTTTCAATTTATATAGTTCAAGTCGCTTACTGACTAACTATTATTTTACAGCGCGAAAACTGACGTTTCCCATGTTGCGCTAACAAAGCGTCCCGAAGAATTTTTTTTGAATTGCGCAATAGTGCCTTTTTTCCACATTCAGTTTTTTATCGTCGTGTATTTTAATGATTTTTTATTTAACGATAAGCGTCTGCTTCTTAGCTTTAACGATATAAGCATGCATATAGTATATATAGCAGTAATTACGTAAGTCTCTTTATTCGTTGAATTGTTACTAAAGTCTTTTATAACTCAACATATGAGTGGCAATGTACTTTTTAAATCATGTTATATGTGTTCTATGTATATTGTTGTATATTGTTGGGAAAGTCCATTAAAAGGGAAAATTCTGCATATTATCCGAAAACGATAGTATCAACAACTAGATAAGAGCCGCGCCATGACAAAACCAACATGCTGTGCGCTATCAGATTCTCTACTTGTTATAGGGTTTGTAAGCGAACAGCATGGATCCTGATCAGACTGCGCGGATGCCCAGGCTTGTCTGGATCCATGCTGGTCTGGATCCATGCTGGTCGCAAACGCATTACGTTGGTTTTGTCGTGACGCGACTCATATAGTTTAATTCTAACATCGTGATAGCTCAGGTGGTAAATCAACGTCACTGTTACTTTAAATGATTTGAACTAATAGGTTCGATACCTACGCACGGCTTGTTATTATGATGTTGTTGTTAATGTGTTTCTCCCTTTTTATTTACTGTGTCTTTTGTTTGAATACATTTTCAAATCTATGAATGACATTCCAATAATACATTTCACATCATTCTAGGAATGACATTCTTTATAGTTGTAGATAACTGTTATGCACGACTTTCACGTGCAAATTTAAATGTCGAACTATACATACATACGCATGCATGCATCACATCATTCTAGGAATGACATTCTTTATAGATAATACATAATGTCATGATCGGTACAATTTAGAATAAACAATGATTTCAATAAGTTACCATTTATTTCAAATACTATCAGGGTTTTTTTTCCGGACGTTTTGTTAGCGCGACATGGCTAACGTGAACCGATTAATATTATCCATAAAAACAAATGTTACTTGATAATGATTGTATTCGGCTATATACAATTTATTACAATATCAACTTTTTTTGGATTACAATAACATCTTCCGGACGCTTCCTAATTTTAGGAATATGAGAGTGTGTCATCAACTGCGCACGTCCAAGTCTACTTTAATCTTCTGGATATCAAATAATATTTGATAGAGAAGAACTGTCTTCCTGAATAATATCATCTAGAAAAAAAAACAATATTTAAATGGATAGTGATTTCTTTTAATTATATCGATGTTAAAAGTGAAACTGCTTCGGGACGCTAAATTTGTTCGGGACGCTTTGTTAGCGCAACATGGGAAACGTCAGTTTTTGTGCTGTATAATGATATTTTGTGGATGAAAAGTTTATTTCCTTCTTTATGTCACTTACACATAACATAAAAGAAAAAAAACACGATTTATCTTTGCTTAGATAAAAAAAATACCATGAAGACGTTTGGGACGCTATGTTAGTCAGTTAGCAACTTGAAACATGCGTGGATAGACGTACGGTTTCGGGCGTAATAAAGATAATATAATTTTATGTATGGAAAACATTTTTCTCGCTATTGTTACTTACATAACTTTTTCATTAACTAAAATTACGAAGTCATTCAAAATAATTTTGGTTTCGATAAACATTAAACCTTCCGGACGCTTTGTCGGTATACGGTGGTTTTTGAGCAAGTGAACTGGAGTCGAAGGTATATTAGTTTTTTTATATAAATAGAAAAAAATGATAAGTAAGATTATTTTTTTCTACCACAAATACCTCAATACATAATAATATACATTATTTACAATAAATATAACCATTCTGACTGTTTAAATTAACAATAATGCTTCGGGACGCTTCATGACATTTCGGGACGCTAAATTCTTCGGGACGCTTTGTTAGCGCAACATGGGAAACGTCAGTTTTCGCGCTGTAAAATAATATTTTGTGGATGAAATGTTTATTTCCTTTTTAATGTCACTTATACGTATCATAAAAGAACTTAATTACGATTTATCTTTGCTTAGATAAAAATAAAAACCATGAATACGTTTCGGGACGCTATGTTAGTCAGTTAGCAACTTGAACTATGCGTGGATAGATGTACGATTTCGGGCGCTATAAAGATAATTTTATGTATGGAAAACATTTTTCTCGCTATTGTTACTTACATTACTATTTCATTAACTAAAATTACGAAGTATTTCAAAATAATTTTGGTTCAGATAAACATTAAACCTTCCGGACGCTTTGTCGGTATACGGTGGTTTTTGAGCAAGTGAACTGGAGTCGAAGGTATATTAGTTTTTTTATATAAATAGAAAAAATGATAAGTAAGATTATTTTTTTCTACCACAAAATACCTCAATACATAATAATGTACATTATTTACAATAAATATAACCATTCTGACTGTTTAAATTAACAATAATGCTTCGGGACGCTTCATGACATTTCGGGACGCTAAATTCTTCGGGACGCTTTGTTAGCGCAACATGGGAAACGTCAGTTTTCGCGCTGTAAAAATGATATTTTGTGGATGAAATGTTTATTTCCTTTTTGATGTCACTTACACATATCATAAATTAACTTAATTACGATTTATCTTTGGCTTAGATAAAAATAAAAAAACATGAATACGTTTCGGGACGCTATGTTAGTCAGTTAGCAACTTGAACTATGCGTGGATAGACGTACGATTTCGGGCGCTATAAAGATAATTTTATGTATGGAAAACATTTTTCTTATTATTTTTACTTACATAACTATTTCATTAACTAAAATTACGAAGTATTTCAAAATAATTTTGGTTTCGATAACTATTTAATTTAACCTTCCGGACGCTTTGTCGGTATACGGTGGTTTTTGAGCAAGTGAACTGGAGTCGAAGGTATATTAGTTTTTTTATATAAATAGAAAAAAATGATAAGTAAGATTATTTTTTTCTACCACAAATACCTCAATACATAATAATATACATTATTTACAATAAATATAACCCTTCTGACTGTTTAAATTAACAATAATGCTTCGGGACGCTTCAGGACGCTTCGGGACGGTAAAATCCTTCGGGACGCTTTTTAGTGAGACCGCTCGGTTCTGCACACAAGGCCACTTTTATACTGAAAGGTTATTGTACATCTTAAACATGTTTTATAAATTATTTAACATCTCTAAGTCCAGATAAGTTACATTGTTTTGCAAATTTTCAGGAGTTCAAATAAATTTAAAGCACATTCTTACTACAGTATACAAACATTTATTTCCAAGCATAGTAGCACACAGGAAACATGTAACAGCAATTGAAAGATACTTTTTTACCACTTGTAGGTAGTAAACACAGACATGAAACATTATTATTGAAGGTTTTTTCATCTGTTTAGTTATGACTTGTTCGATTAAGAGTTTGGTATCATTTTAAACAAAAGAATCAAAGTGAAATGACTTGACGTTTGGTTATTGGGAGAAGTTAAATCATGTGCATATATTTCATAACTAACAGCAAATTTGCCAAAACAAAAACATACATTTATTTTCAAATATATATTTTATAAATATCTTAACATTGAAATAGAAATTAGCATGGTTTAATTGCTGAAAAAGATGTTTTTATGTGTGACCTACACAGCCATGTACATGTATTTACATTTTTGTCTGCACTCTTTAGGGAAAGGCTGGGGTGCAAGATCCCAGATTATGTCATATCCTGTTGAAAACATGCCAGTTCAGTAAAACACAAATGAAAACTGAATAAATTCATTTGAATTTTCAAGAAAAAATGAAAAATGGGAAAGTGTGCGGGACCGGGTCCTGTGCGGAACCGGGTACACTGACTCTAATAATTTTCCATATGTTTAAAATGTAGGGTTTTTATTGATACTGATAGCACATATATTTAAATGATACTTTCAACAGCAAAGCTGTTTCTTGAAATCTTTAGAAGCACATGTTTGAGTCATTGAGTGCCTATCCCAGGGCTCACGCTATATACCATACTTAACCCCTTGTAAAGTGTTGTAAAGGTCACTAAGGTGTGAAAATGTCAGACAGAGACGTTTCTTGTACAATTTATCATTCTTCTGTATCATAAACTGAATTACAGTCAACCTTGGGTTGACTTGCACTGTTATTAACTCAGTGACTGTAGCTTTTAAAACTATACTTCAGATTATGATATATTTTTAATTAAAGAGATATATAGCATTCTATTTTTTCAAAAACTAAAATCTCTGGATTAGAAACTTTTCACTTTTGAAGACTTAAATTTAAATGCAAAGCAAAACAAAGTAGTGACGGTGAAGTTATGTATTTTAAGAATTACTTGAAAATTGTAAAGAGCTCCTTAGTTATAGTAATGTAAAAAGGCTCTTGTATGTTTTTATATAGCCTTTATAGGTAAAGTGTACATCATCTCTGAAAAAGATGTTTACTTTTGTGATGCAATTTCCTGTTAGACTGATAATTAATTTGAAACTGTTAAACTTGTATTCATATTTCTGATTAAACTTATTTCAGATAGCCCAAATGAACAGCAGCCCCCAACTGCAGAAAATACAGAGACTAGAAGAGAAATACAAGTTGAAAATGCTGGAACTACTCTTAGACAAAGATCTGCCCATACTGAGAATACACAAAGTGGCAGCATGGAAGCCACGTCCAGACCTATTAGAAATACAGTGAAGATTTCACCCATAAGAAAACCACACAGTGTTCAAAATGACTCGAAATCAGCAGATGAATCTTTAAATACTAGTCGTAGTAGCTCTGATGCTAAAATGATGTTGAAACATTTTGAATTTTTGAGAATTGTGTTGTGTGTTATGGTAGCATATTTATGTAGGAGAGTTCTATCTACAGGCTATGGTGTATTTTACTTTCAGGTGGGTCCCATTTTTTAAGAAACTTACAATGCATGAAAAGTTGAATACTCTGATAAAAGGTTCATTCGAATTTCATCTTTTTCTAGCTCCACTATTTGAAAAAAAAAGTGGAGGTATCGTAATGACCCACTAGTCGACAATTTTCATGTTTATTGTCCATCACTTCAATACTACAAAGGAATAATGTTTAAACTTCATAATGAATTTTACTTATTACACCAAATTTGAGCTAAAAAAAGTCAAAGTCCCTGTGACATGAAATAGTTTAAAATCCATTTTCTTACTACCAATTCTCTTTTCAATAACTTTAAAATTTGTATACTTGTTCATTATCAACATGTGATGTCATAATTTTCACAAGGGCAGATAATCCTAAAATAAGTTTGCAATGTAATGTTTTGTTATTTTTAATCTTGTATTGTTTTATTTCAGTCTGTTGTGTTACCATTTGCCTGCATGGAAGCTTCGTTCTTCATGTTCAAACATAAAATGCTACATGTATGTTGTTTTTCTTCCATTTCACATTAATACAGTCACTCATTAAATGCTTTTTCTACAAATTAATATTAATGAAAAATTAGCATATCTTTTCAAAATTATTGCTTTTTTTCATCAGGGAATTTCAACATTACAAATATTTATTTATATAAAATAATGGATGTTAGAAAATACCTTTTAGAAAAGAAGATCTAAAGATACTTTATTAAAAAATACAGAACATTTCAATTGATAATTATTGAATGCTAAATTTTTTTTGAAGATTATTTTTATTGGTTATTATAAACACTATTTTATAATAATCTTTTTTACCTACAGTCTGCAGTTATTGTTATTTTGATTGTCAACTTACAACATATTTCACTTTATTCAAAAAGAAATCTTTCATCAAACAATGGCTTGGACAGATTTGTTACGCTCAAGATATTTTGTCCATACACTGTTGATAGATAATTTACTTTTGTCTTAACTCCTGATGTAACATGTATATGCCTTTATTTGTTTACAGAATGTTATGTTACCACACAAGTCATCAATGTTGTTAGGGTTATTAATGTTATGTGGAATCAAGCCTGCCATTCTACAGACCTACAACAAACTGATGGGCTATATGACGGCAGCGTCAGAAGACTTTGCTCTCTTTTTCTTCGCTTTCATGATGGCCAACACCTTCATTCTGTGATCATGGATTCTATCATGATACATGATTGTATACTGACACGATGTTGTCTGTATTGTACTCAGAGCTGCAATCCATAAGTGTTTTTGTTATGGTTAGTCCCTGGAAAGGTGCTGTTGTGTCAGTTGAATTTCTCATTCTAAGAGATAGGCAGGTGTAGATTAAATAATCTGGAAGAATTTTTCTTTTTTTGAGATGAAATCTTTTACTCTAAGGTAGAATTGCATCACCTTTATTTATTTTAACCAACCCTTACCTTGTTGGTAGTAACTGATCCTGACCAGTGCAGACCAAGATCAGTTGTCTTCTCTGTTCAGTATGTACCTGAAAATGATAAATGTTTTGATGGACAAGTCCATGTAAAATATTTAGTGGGGTACAGGTTAATTCATTTTATGTTTGTACAGTCTCAGTCTAGAATCATTGTTATCTTTTAATTTTGAAAATGTTTGTTTGCTGTAAAGATTTCATTTATCACTTTTGAAAAGAAAGACAACTTTAAGAATGGTCACTGTGGTACCACAAAACTTAACGTTTTATTAGTAAATTTTGACAAGAAAAATAACCTTTTTTTTATTCATATATTTTTCTGGTATTTAATTAACTTTGGCATCTATACTTTCCGCACAATACATTGTACTAATGAAAAAAAGTATTTCTTCTCGTCACCATTTGCTAAAAAAATTAGGTAACATGGTGATAATGTGCAAATACCACTACTGATCCTAAATGAATATTTGTTGGAAGAAGCAAGCATTTTAGGTTAAAACAAATAACCTGTGAAAAATTTGTTTTATAACATTTTTGGTTGGAAGGTAAAATTTAACTGTTGTTAACAGAGTTATGTTAATGTCATTCTACATTTGCATTTTTATTTTTCATATGAATTTTTTTTAAAGAACATTGTAATTTCTTTATGTAATTGAATTGTGGTCTGATATATTAACTGTCAGAAATGTGGATTGCCACCTGGCTGGCAATACACAGCCCCACTGTCAATGTTATAAGTCGACGAATCACAAGAATAAAATCTAGGTCAATATACCATGTTTGTATGCAAATTTTGGATTACATTTGTGTCTGCAAGGATATTGTAGAAGTGGAGACAATACAAAATACAATGATTGTTTAACAATATCCTTTTTGAATGTTCTCGTACATTTGTTTCTTCAGATATTTCTTTGTTCTTTAAGAATATTTTTCTTCATACTGTTACATGAAATTTATATACATGTAGTACTCCTTTTTTATCCAGATTTTATCATTATTAATTTTGTTAGTGCCAAATTAGTGCTAGAAGCTTATGTATACCGAGTACAGACATTTTTTTAAAGAAATTATAGTGTACATAATGTATGAAAAGCACTTGTGCAAGTGGTCTGCAAGAAAAACAGTTTAATTGCTAGCAATCAGCAAGTGTAAGCTGTTTTTTATCATAAACATTTATAAACAAGTTTCACTTTGCATGTTTTAACTTTAATTCATGATATTGTATCAAGAAATCCATGACCAGACAGTCTTAAAGTTGCAATAATTTTAAAAGATATTGACTGGCTGATTAGAACTTTCAAAGTGGCATTCAAGGATTCCAGTTTCAAATAGAAACAATTGTTGATATCTTTATGTTATATAGAGATTACGATATGCTTGAAAAGGGGTTTAAACATTGCCTTATTTAAACTTTTTTTCCATGAATCCCATATGATAAGCTTTCTTCATGGGACCCTCCAAAAGTTATTTTCAAGGAAATCACCTGATTACTTTTTTGTCTCATGGGGCCAGAATGGTCACCTTTTTCTCTGGAACTAAACTAGTAAGCCACAAAGGGATAGCCTTAGGACTAACCTCAGATTGTGCAATCAAGACCAAAGAAGGGGGCACAAGTTTCTCATTAAGGATTAGATCATCTACAATATATTCAATGCAATTCATCCTTCATTGGTGTTTTGAATAATTCATGTGAAGAAATTGGCAGTTAAGCTTGTGGAAGGCAGTTATCATTTGAGCTTAATGCACCAACATTGCTAGCCCCCCCTGACAGAAAAACTTTTAAAACTGACCCTGACCTCCGCAAAATACACCTTTGAACCCCGACCTCTATAGAATATATCTTAGAACCAAACAAAACCTTCACTGTGACAAACAAATATTGATCCTCGTCATAAATCAGTTGAATTGTACAATAGAGAGAAAGGGAAAACTTTTTTTTTGAACTGAAAGGATCAGATTTTCATCTTTTTTTAATTTCTTATATGTGTCTCAGATGATAGTGATATTATTTCTGGTTGTGAAATTCATCAGTTTCGTCCTATGTGTACAACAATATTGAAGAACGCAGACACCAGTCTTGTATATGTAGGGTTGATTTTTGAAATTAAGGTTTTTGGGGATGTATTTATTAAAACTCCAAAGCCTTGAAAATATGTATAAAATCATGCAAAATAGTTTGAGCTGTCATATTTTTACCACATCATATCAAAATTTTGTATATATTGTAAATATATCCTAGGATTGTTTGATATTTATTTATTATATTATTAAGGTTTGATATTAAAATGCATGAACATGAGAAAAAAATGCTTTAAACACTCACCCGGCTCAAGTTTTGCTACAGACTTGACTTGCCTTGAATACTAAACTGCTATTTGTTAGTGTAAAGGAATTCAGTTTTGAGCTATATCAGGGTCTTTCAAATAGAAGACCCTGGCTACATTAAGCCTGATTTACTGTCTCACATTCTTGCATATCAGACGGGATTTCCTAGTGAACCACCTGTGCTAGAAAATGTCATTTTACATCCCTCACATAAGATAAGATACATGCTATAATATGATGTTATTCTGGCAATTTTCTGTTGTTATGAAATATGAATGCAGCATTAATTTAAGAGAGTACTATAAGAAAAAAGTTTTTAATGAAATACTTTTTTTTTTCGTAACTTCTTTTTAAGTAATTTGACTGCAATTTGCAAGATTGAAACACTGGCTTTCATCACTGAAGCAGGGAATTCCCCAGGAATTTTTTTAAGCGCTACATTTTTTTAATTAGACGGGGGTGGGTGTGGGAGGGGGTCTTGACCCCCATACCGCATGTCGAATTTTTTTGCCATTTTAGGTGTCAATATACTGCTGTGGGCTGTTTTAAAACAAATAATGAAAGCTTTTCACTTGATAAACATTTTCTTAATTTTTATTATTTATTTTTTCCATATCCAACAATTCAAATAAATAAACAATTATATATAAACACAAGTTCACAACATGTGATCAACATTTATATGTATGTGTGTGTCCCATTTAAATGAGTATATTTCAGTTTTTTTTTTTCTTCATTAACATCATTAAAAGTGGGCCTGTCTTCTAGGTTTGTTGTCCTTCCATGCCTTGACTGCCTTCTCAAAGTTGAAAGATTCTAATGGGGGTCCTTGAAGGGAGACGGCAAGAAGATAGTTTAGAACTTAAACAGAGAGACAATTCCTGTTTTCAGTCTTAACTCTCTTCAGGCAGCTGAATCCTCGCTCACAATCTGAAATTAATAATCATTTATGTTAACCTCATGTCATTTATTTATTTTGTTTGTTTGCTATGAATTTTTGAAAATTTAAAACTTCTAGCCTGTTTAAACTTAACGAAGTCAAAAAAAATTATATTTGAGATGTTGAAAAACTTCTAGCAAAGTGTTACACATCTGCAACTGTCATTGGAATTTCATTAATGTTCAAGAATTAATCAATTTAATAATAATTACCTGCAGTAGAGGTTGGGAGGAGGAGACCCACAGCAGCAATTCTTTAAAGAGCTGGATGACTGGTAGAAAGGTTGCCAGTAATCCAGATCATGGTCTGGTCGGCTGACTGATCAATCCCCTCTAGACTGGCACGTACCTGGTGCCAGTGGCTGCGGCACTGCTCCATATCTACACCAAAGTGCCTGGCCAGCTCCTGTATGTCCTGACAAACCAATGCTAAGGGGCATGGACAGTAGATTGCACTTCACAAAGCTGTCCATCTGCAAAATTAATTTTTTTTTTCATTTTGGGGATTCAGTTAACAGAAACAGTTTACAAGATATTTTTACTCTTTTTTTTTCAATTAAAAAAGAAAATGACCAATGTCTCTAAGTGGGATTGTTGATGTAAAGTTTTTGTTGTTGTTTTCACTCAGTTGCAAGTTGATAATAAACAGTCGTAAATGTTTTCAATGTTAAAGTAGCCATCAACCAAATTTATTCTGAATATCTATGCAGTTTAATCCAAGTAAAATACGATTATCATGTATATATTAAATAGCAAAATGATCCTGAGACAGTTTCAACGACATTGCTCACAAAAACTCTTTAATTGATAGTGAACTAGGCTTCCCTTATTCATGTTAGACATATTATTTTTTGAAATCTTAATACTACAGTACTGCTTAGACGTTACGGTCGTAAGAAAGTGAAAGATGAAATTAAACATTACACTTATATCAAGACAATTAACCCATTCATCCCTAAATATCAAACTGTTATATCGCAAGTCAATTAATGCCAATTATACTATCAAAACAATAAAATGTATTTCACCTACCTGAAACATGTAAATATCACACATGCCGCGGTTAAATTCCACCCATCTCAATACACGGTAATTGACAACACCTGAAAGTGCACCAACAGTCGTCTGCAGACATCGATGACAGGTGTCTGTGACGTCACACAGTCTCAAGGCAATCAGTGTATCGGGTTGTTTATACGCCTCGGGTAATTATCTACACAGGACATGTATATTGGCTTGTTTATTTGGCTAATTGGGGTTAACTTATAGACACAATAGAAAGGAATATCGGTCATTTTTTAAAGCGCTATGATAATTTTAAGCGCATCGGGATTTCTTGTTCTGAAATTTTAGCGCATCGGTGCCGATGCGCTAAAAGCGTCTGGGGAATTCCCTGCTGAAGGAAATATCTTACTCTTGGGTTACTGTTAAGTAGAACTTGTTGCCACCTTGATATTACTGGTATCTATGAGCTGGTTTCCATCAGCTGGTGTAAGATTCCTATACTCTATATAAGCTCAAGTTTAGACAAAACTTCAAAGTAGGACAAGTCTGCAACATTAATTAAGCTGTGTAAAAAAGAAATTATGTAGGTGTTGCTGGTATATGTGATGCCAAACTAACACGTTGTTGACCTTTGTTCAGAATATTCATATTGCCGTGTGTATTATAAATTAAAATGTTGTAAGGGTAGAGATGACCATGCCTCTACTATAACCATTAGAAGTTAACTCCTAATGAGAAGTGGTTTGTTCATCTTGAACAGTCGTAAATCAATGCAAATAAATGTAGATTTTTTTGATAGTTTGGAAATATGTATAGTACATAATGTTATATCTGTATGTGTTTTAGTAGATTGCTGTATAAAGTATCACAATGGCAGAAATCTGCGGAAGTATGTTAAAACCATAGAAAAAAGCACAATATGAATAGAAAAGTTGTTTGTTTTACATAGATCAAATTATTTTTTATTCATCAACACCAGCACCTGCTTTATTTTCACTTTGTAGGTATGTCACTTGTCATCAATATTACATCAGATTTTTATCCAGTGAAATATCATCTCTGATCTTTCCATGAAACTAACAAATATCCATATGTATTCTTTATTCATTTTTCTAAAAAAATTGTGTGGACTTTGAATGTACATTTGTAAATTTAATTTATTTATACTCAGCAAAATGCTTATATTACATCAAACATGTGGTCCATATTTGCAGAATCCGCTGAAATTTGTTAAGTTAAATATCACTAAAAATCTGTAAGAATATTGCTTCATACAAATGTAGTGAAAAAATTATTCATTTGATGGTAAAACAAGAAAAAAACAAAACAAGCAGCAACAACTGACATTAGGGAAGGCATTTTAAAGCAGGGTTAACTTAAGCTATTTATTTATCTACTTTTTTTTCCTTGTTCATTTTCATAAAAGCTTTTTATATTGTTATGAAAGTAATTGAATAAAATATCTATTTGACCAAATTGCATTTGTGTATTTATTCTAAATCCTCTTCATTTCTAGCAAGTGCTAAAGCACATATAATTAAAAGCTTGTTGCACATTATGTTCCTTTAATCCAGATCTTTATGTGGTTTGTAATTAAAACAAGAGGGCCATGATGGCCTTGAGTCGCTCACCAGAATCAACGGCTTTACAGTGTTGGAAATTATTTTTCAAAAGAATTTGCTGAAAGGCAAGTCCAGCTCTTTCCGCAAGTTCAGCTTAACTTTAACTTGCCCCTCTAGTAATAAACTTTCACAACACTGATTGCTTTAGCTTTTTTTCTTCATAATAAAATAAAGGGCCACTAAGATGGCTCTAGATCACTCATCTAACCCATCATTTCATGATTCACAATATAAATTGAAATAATTTGCCCTAATATTTTGGAAAAGCTTTGTTAAAAATATGTATGTTGCAAGTGTGTTCCTATGAGACTATGTAGAATAAATGACCACTGGAACAGGATTTATTTTGACTAAACAATTTTTTTTTATAACTTTTTATCCCCCGTCGATGGAATCGGGAGGGGGGTATAGTTTTGGCGTCGTCCGTCCATCCGAATTTCGTTTCCGGAGTAGTTCTCTGCAACTACTGGCTGGAATTCAACGAAACTTTATGGGAATCATCAATATCAAGAGGAGATGCGCATCTGACGGTCCGTCCGTCCATCCGTCCGAATTTCGTTTCCGGAGTAGTTCTCTGCAACAACTGGCTGGAATTCAACAAAACTTTATGGGAATCATCAATATCAAGAGGAGATGCGCATATCGTCAGCTTGTTCCGGTCAGACCCTTTAACTCAGAGTTATGGCCCTTGATAAGTTATGTAGAATGCATATAGAGAAAAATTTTGTTTCCGGAGTAGTTCTCTGCAACTACTGGCTGGAATTCAACGAAACTTTATGGGAATCATCAATATCAAGAGGAGATGCGCACATCGTCGGCTTGTTCCGCTCAGACACTTAAACTCGGAGTTATGGCCCTTGATTAGTTATGCAGTATGCATATAGAGAAAAAATCGTTTCCGCGCTACTTCTCTGCAACTACTGGCTGGAATTCAACGAAACTTTATGGGAATCTTCAATACTTAGAGGAGATGTGCATATCGTCGCCTTGTTCTGGTCAGACACTTAAACTCAGAATTATGGCCCTTGATTAGTTATGAAGTATGCATATAGAGCAAAAATCATTACCATGCTACTTCTCTGCAACAACTGGCTGGAATTCAATTAAACTTTATGGGAACCTTCAATACCAAGAGAAGATGTGCATATCATTGCCTTGTTGGGGTCAGACACTTTAACTCAGAGTTATTGCCCTTGATTTGTTATGCAGTATCCATATAGAAAAATATTCGTTTCCTCGCTACTTCTCTGCAACTACTGGCTGGAATTCAATGAAACTTTATGGGATTCTAAGAGGAGATGTGCATATAGTCGCCTTGTTCTGGTCAGATACTTATAACTCAGATTTATGGCCCTTGATTAGTTATGTAGTATGCATACATCTCATTGGCATTTCCAGATATTACTATTTAACACAAAGTTATGGCTCTGTTATTGCCCTGAATATTTATCAAGTTCAAAGAATATTACTGTTTATGCCTATGTTATGATTAATATATAAATAAAGCCTTATGTCTTCAGTTGTTGTGTTAATAATAACCAGTACTCGGCAGGGGATATAAATTCAACGAATTTGCTTGTTTGAATGAAAACACAAAATGTCACATGCAAAACATGTATCAAAATTGAATTCAACATAAAAAATTACACAAATTACACCCCTGGTGCAAATTTCAAGTCTGTACATAAAAGACAAAAAAGTAGGTAAAGCGATATCAAAAGTAGGCCAGTTCATAATCAAAATTCAATTCAGGATCAGAAATTACCCCCCTGGTCCAAATTTCAAGTCTGTACATAAAAGACAAAAAAGTAGGTAAAGCGATATCAAATATAT